AGACGGTTACGGTTCTTTCGTAAAAAAGAGGAAACCGAAAAAATGTACATGTATGTATATACATAGTTATCTAGGAGGCAATCTCGAGAGAAGCAGGGAGGCCCGTTTCACGTAACAGATTCGGCTGTTTGTCTCTTCCCGTTAACTTTCTGCACATCAATCGAATCGGAGCGAACAGCATTCGCATGTAACACTTTACGTAAATTCTTTCGCACTTGTCTCGTGCGAAACAACTTCTATAACTTCCATCGTTTAGCTTTCGTTTATTGGTACTTCTAATTACATATACTGAATATGTATAAGTATCTAGAAAATATCGTGTACCTGTATAACAGTGTGTGATTAAATCTAGGCCAAATTATTAGTCCAACTGCTTTCACTGTAGGTAATGAAGGATATTTAGATAATTGAACTGGAAATCACGTTACAAATACTTTTTAGAATTTTGTTGTTCAATTTTAATACTGATTGATCCATATATTAATTTTTGTCTTCTTTTCATTAACGTCCTCTGAAGTGGTTGATATTAGCAACCTGTTTCTTACTTTTCAAAATAATGGTAGCTTTTAGAAGAGATGACTATGAAAAAGAAAATGATTTTGTAACAGCAAAATATGTGTGTCATATTAAGCGATTTACTACACTTATTATTTACCTGCACACGGCTATTATTTTTTTATAAACCTCATTCTTGAAGCTATCAGAAATTTTACAAAGTTACCAAGAAAATGGGAATTTAAGAATTCTTCTATCTCTGTGCTTGCTTCTCTGCACATAAAATATAACTGATTAATTCTTTCTCGAGAACAAAATATTTTTGATTTGATGTTTTCTTAAACACCGACTTAAGGAAAAATAATTTTATATTGAATTTAAAACTTACTTTAGTAAAAATCCGTTTTCATGATTCGTCTGGTAAATTTGTCTTTATAATTGCAATGGATCTAGAATACACGACATAAGTGTACTTATATACGATATCATCTTTTGTTCCAATGTATATTCATTTATAAATTGTTATAGTATAATTACAGCTTCATACCTTCCTTTATCTGTCGTGCACTATATTTTACAAAATTAAAATCAGAAAATCCTTTAAACTAATCGTTTTTCGACGCGAATTCTTTACTATTCTCCCTTAAATAAGTAAAAGAGTTTAGGACCCATCAATTGGTATGTAAAATAAGTAGAAATAACCTTCTCTTTAAAATATCTTCATTTCTGGAACAGACATATGCAGTATGTGTTCCACTGTTTGAAATCATTTCATTTTGCGTAATGAAATCTTTTTCCTACCCTGTAGAGTTTTAAAGCTACGGCTCGGTTTAGTTGTATAGCACATTCTGTATAACTATAAAAATTGAATATAAATAGAAGGTGAAAATGTGGAACAAGTGTATCTCCGCTTAAAAACGAGACGAGTAGAGAATACGATACACGAGATGCATGTTCGGAATTGTAAGGATTTTTCTATTAAAGTTGAGTTGCATCCACAGGATTTTGTCATTTCTGCTTCTCCTCTGGCCCTTTAAAATATGAAAAAATGAATGGAAATGGAACGACTATGTCCGAGATACTGATACGTAAACGACTGCAGGAATTACCTTACAGTTGCGGCACTCGAAAAAGTCAAGTGCTACGGTCGGTTTCGATAAGCAACAATTTATATGAAGTAAATACAAATATGCCGATACGCTGCCCCTATTACCGTCGTCGAGTTCGCCATTGCTATTATCGCTATAATCACTTCTATTACTATTCACAGTCTAAATTGAATTTCGTGACACACAGACCAACGTCGCGTTCGTTCGTACGAAGGACTGGTGCCAACCAATCGATCGAAAAAACATTAACGTTTCGATAAAAGTCCTATCGACCGGTTGCAATCCATAGTTTGGCATTCAATTTAAAACAAGGCTTGATCAAACTTCTATTAACTCCACAAATTGGATACCTCGACTGTCATAACCACGCAGTAACAGGACGGCTCTCTTATTTTTCCCTTCCAACCGGACGACTTCTTCTTTAATGCGAATAGTTTCCGTTTAACGATTCGGAAATCATCGTCGAACGTTCCAATTCCATCGAAATTACATCTATCCTCCAGCGAGGGTGGGTGAAAACTTTGTATTTCGCGTCGTTTGCTTCACTCGTGCTCGATTAAAGTGCTCTTACAATAACAGTTTCCAACGCACGCCATATTGGCCAAATGATGGCTGGACACTTATATTATCCTGTTAACTGCATCGCTCCCTAAATCAGAAATCTGATAACGATGAATTTATTCGTCTTAGTTCATTAAGATATAAATACGAGGTTTCCATAAGTAATTCTAAAGACTTCTTCTTGATTTCTTTAATTTCGATGTCATTCGATGGAGCTGAATGGTTAGCATTTTAGAGATAACCGATGAATCCACGAAGGTTGAGGAAAATTAAAGGAAAAAGAATTTTGGCTTAATTTCAGAATTATTCCTGTGTAAAGGATATAAAAGTATAGCTCATCGTGTCCCTTGCCTGTGGTCTCCAACTATAATAATACATTAAAAATTAAACAAGATTCTCTGGGTGAATAAATTATTGCAGTAGAATTTTACTTATCTGGAGAACACAGCGGAGAACACAACAGTTCAGGTAACTGAATATTTCATGTAATTGGAGTTCACTATAATTTTTCGTTCAAATAAGCGGAGTACATATTCGAATAACTGTATTTGAAAATACGTTTGCCAATTCCTTTTACTCATGCAAGCAGAATTGTAAGAATTCGTATAATTAAAGTAACGATCGTTAATAGAGATGTCGAAAATAATAATACGATACTTGCATTGTCCAGTTACGTTTCTTTTCTGCAGTTAAACGACTAAGAACCAAAATGCGGTCCAACGACATCGAAATTCAATATTTCCCTGGTGTTTACAATTTTGTAACACGTTATTTATTAATTAATGTAATAACGTGAAGGGACTTATGAATTATTTATAATTTTATGTGATTTAATATCGTGCTTGTTAATATGCATGTAGTTGACACAGATAAACCGAGTAATTTATCAGCCCGGTTTGAAATCGTTAATTATGTCATTACGTTTAAATTTTAAATCATCACGTTTTCCCACTTTAACGCGAGCTTCTGCGTAAAATCGATCGTTTCACATCGATATTTATTCAAGATTTAAAAATAAAAATCGAGAAATGCATGGCAATTAAAATTTCCTAAAATAAACTGATGTATTTTTATCAAATTACAAGAGATTTTGTCTGAACGAATCACTTGCGAAGGTGCTTCAGCTCGATGATTTTTATAATTTTCGTGTAATTTTTTGAAGACTATCTCGGAATCTAAAGTATACACACTCTGAAGATCGATTTTTGAACATTTATATTTCTATTATACTTCTACGAACATTGTATATATACTTGAGTGCTAATTTAGATAAAACCTACTTAATGAGCGATAAGTCAATTTAATTTTACGTAAAATTTGTTGATTTTATATTATGACAATCGGTATTTAATTATTACAGTGTTTAATACAGTATGAAAAATAGTTGATATTATTTTCTATCGTATGCACATTCAGTGCTTTCGAATAGTTATAGAAAAGAATAATTTGGTAAATCATATTATTTGTATAATATTTGCAGATCTGAAATTGCCGCTTTCCGATGTATAATAATTAACGTTTATCAGCATGATAAAAGGCCTGGCATTAGCAAATGAATGTTCCACTCAATTGATATTGCAATATTAATTATGATGACATCCACCGCACTATATATTTTACGTATGTATATGTGCCATAACGATGCTGTGGTTGATATATAGCTAAAATTTAATTGTTATCTAACAAAATTATCGGTTACAAATTCCAGTATTATATAAATATTTATTAATTAATTCGCTTCATTAATTTGAATTTAATGCACGTATAAATGAAAGTTCATATTTCAAATTTTGTTCAAATTAAATAAATGTTTTAATTCACTCTTCGCCGAATGTTAAATTCATGGTAATTTGAATAATAATTTTTCCAGATATTAACATGACAGGTATTTCGCAGAGTAGATGTCTCGTGAAATAGTTCCAAATACTGGTCTTTCCGACTAGAATTATCTTATCGATAAAACTCCGATAATATTTCTATCCGCTTATCTATCGCAATATTTTAAAGCAGCAATAGATAATTTATTTCTAAGCAATACTACTATACCTCGAATTCTTCAAAAAATAAATATTATACGGAATACAAACTGAATGTCATTAACATTCAAAATATTAAAAAATTATCTGACACAAATTAATAAATAATTCAATGTATCAAAAAAGTTCCAAGCACATTTGTCATTTACTATAAAAATCAGGCCTGAAAAAGAAACCATTTTCAAAATCTAAATTACACACGCAATGTTTGCAACATACCGTATCTGTAACAAGCATCTATTAAAATCTTCCATGCTTTATCTTCAGTATTGGCTTCCAAACTCCAAATAAAATATAAAGTTTGCCCACTGAGATAAGTACACTTATACATTTCTGTAAAATATATATTCTTTACACTTCGTATTCTAGCAAATCTACGTTTCTTGTTAACCACTAAATAGTATAAAATCTTGAAAGAATTCAAGACACATTTTCGATTTCTCGCAAACAACTAATCAATTTCACTACGAAATTCGATCAATTCCGAAAGCTCGATTGACCTACCTCGAGAAAATAACCATGACCTGTACAATGATTATACGTCTAGTTGACCATACGATGAGCAACTTGTATGGTACGCATATAACGAATAACTTAGGCGAGCACCAGAGCGTTTCTTTACACCGTTACTCGTATTGAAGTCTTTTCTCCTTGCGTGTTGGTCACCTTGTTTCATATCGAAGTTTCATGCTGTGCTGGACATCGACGTAAGCGATGAAAATGCGCCTTGGTTTTGATATCGAGTGCAAGGATCAAGGCGACCCGCGTTAATTAAGGAAATTAGTATGTCTATGGCCGAAAGAGGTCAGGCAACGCCACTGTCCAGATGCTCAGAGGAAAAAACGACCGCATCAAGAATGGTGACACGGCTGAACAGATGTTATTTCACGGTAAAATAGTTCGGAAGTTTGTTAGCAAAGTATGTTAATGGTTAATGCACTCCTGATGCCGTGGAACGTTCGCTGAACTATGAAATTCTTCGTTACTGTACCGGCATTGTATTCGGTTTCATTAACACTTAGGTTGCGACATTCTTTTAGGTTTTTATCATGCTCTTTCGTCCCTCGATATCATCATGAATTATGATCATTGAAATGATTATATATACATACATTGTTTGTAAGATTGTGGCGCGAAAATGTACACAATAGATAATGACGCCATAGGAAATGATATAAAAGGTAATTGAACAATTGAAAATTAACGAAATAATTTGTTGAAGAATTTACAATTATTTATGTCAATAATGTAGCAGTCAATATGATTCAACTAAAATATTTTAAGACATTTAGTGGAAAAATGAAGACAAACATTATGTAGAAATAATTGTATTTTTAAAAGAAAAAAGATAATATCGGTTATTTTAACCTCATCTTGCCACTCAAAAGGTAAGGAAACCGTTTCTTAAATTGGGACACCGTTTATGTCCGGCGTAAAAAGCAAGATTCAAATATCGTGTTAATTACAAGCGAAATTAAACAACTTTAAAATGTCACAGAAAAATATCAATAACATTTTTATTACATTTTTACTCTGATATTAAACTATACAAAACAGCGTGATCGTTCGATGATTACTATTTCCGTCTCTTTTAACATTTAAAAATTTTTTAAACTATCGAAAAATTGAGAGTATTTTAATTAACAGTATTCTTAAACGAATACGAGTACTGAGGAATCCGAATAAAGACTGTAATTAAGTTCAAATTACTCGTAGAAAGTTTCTGAATTATTTCTAGCGAAACTAAGAAAATGGCAATGTACTTTTACAGAGTCAGCATCTTATTGAATAACATAAGCACCGTTTCTTTCGATGACATTTGCCATATTTCGAATAGCTTTACGATAACTTTTTCAATAGAATTTCCGCATCTTTCAACAATAAATTTCAAATAATTTTTGCAGGTTTACAGAGTTTGCAGTCTCTCAACAACAAAAATGTTTTATAAAAACTAGAATAAGTGTCTAAAACTATGTTATATCCGATGAATATGATGGATAAAATTAAATATTTCTGCTCAGGTCTAACACTTTTTGCTTGCACTTTGTCGATACATGAAATCTAATATAGGTTTATTGAAAACTGAAACTATCTTTATCAGTCAATTTCGCATATTCCTGCTTCTTTTTTTCTTTTTTTAGTTATCACATTTAATATGAAAAAGTAGAGCTTTTAAATTTTAAATCTCGTCACTTAGCAGAGTATTTCTGATAATTAGTCGGAAATTTATTGAACAATTTGATACATATAAATCACGGAAAACTATTAAAATATTATTAATATTATTAATACTACGGAAAACAGAACTCTGACTGAGAGTGATATCAAAATTACATCAGTAATTTTCTCAATCGATCATATCTTCATTGTTGACCTCCAAACAAAATATAAAATTTGAGCACTGACATACACATAATCCATACACATATAAAATAAATTGGCAATTTTCTTAATTACTGATTATATCTTATTAATCAGTTTGTACCGAGTACTTTAACTATACTAAGAGCCGAAAATGGACAAGAATATTGTATTTCAAGATAAAGGGAGACAAAGAGCAGGATGAAACACATACCAAGATGTCAGGAGTGTCACTGGAATAAAACTGAGTAGATGAATGGCGGTGGTATTGTTTTAGGTTGCCGCCACCGTTGCCCAGGATTACGAGGTCTCCGACATTCAATGTAGCGGTGCAGGATCAGCTGCCGATCTTCTTACAGCGAAGATCAAAAGGCCAGTTGGCTTCAGAGGGGCGCCGCTCTTTGCTGACGACAGGTCCGCCAATCCAGTCACCGACATTCACTGCCAGATCAGGCCAGATCCCAATGATTCTCAGGAAGATAACTACTTCCTGAAGGTGACTGACTTCTCAAGATGCGGCATTCTAAAGAGAAACGTGAGTCATTGATCGAGATTTCGTTTCTCGCACTCACTGAACCTGATCACGCGTATCAATAAACGAAATCGATCAAGTAATCGTTGTTGATTATGTAACTAATCGCGAAACTTGATTATCGTTCTTTTCGTAATACGAAAAATTGCGATCCAATGATCATTGAAATAACGAAAGGTATACAATATCTGTGATTGCTTATAACAAAAGCCGTATGTCAATTTGACATAATAGAGATAAATTGACGAGTCACGGTGATATTTATTCTGCACGCTTCTCATATGTAAGGCTTTTGAATAAGACAGTAGAGATAATGAGTCTGAAAATTAAAATCTTACTCTTGAAAACAGTATTGAATCTTATGCAACACTGTTATTCAATACTTTTCTCTTCTTTTTATATTTCGTTCTTTTTTTTAACTTTTTTTTTTTATTTTATTAAATAAGCATTCGAGCCATGTACTGATAAGAAACGAAAAAAGAATTGAGAAAGTTACGATAAATAATTTTATTTTATTAGGGTTTCATTCACCTGCGAATATGGTTCCCGGCTTTCCCTGGTGTGGTGATGCTAGCCGATCAAGAATTGATCTTGATGTGTCGGCCACCTGAGCCTACTTTACTCCGGCATAAAGCCGCAGGTTTCGCTGGAACCTTGTGAGTCATTGTTCTACTTTGACAAGGTCACGCTCCATCTGATAATTTATTTAGGAAATATACATGAATTAACTTAAATAAACTTTGAATAAACGTTTGGTATGTTTAAGATTGTTCATAGAACTGTAAATAATTCTAACCATACAATTATCTAATTCACCAGTTAGAACTGTTGGGCTAATTAATAAAAATTTCGATTAAAACGCAATATTTCTTTTCTTTAAGGTAATAAAAAAAAGTAAGAGTAGAGAAATATCCGTATTATCAATCATAATTAAAAAAGAAAAGATAATTACCTGAACTTCTATCTTTTTCAGCCCACATGGAGCAAGAGTGTCCGGAGTGGTTGAAGAAACTCCTGGACGACTCGAGTACGAGGTAGCCCTTTACCGTGAGGCCACAGGCAATGTATCAGACGCATCAGCGTCGCAGACTGTCGATCAAGCAGTTCCCATCGGCACGAAGCTTCAGTTAAGAGCTCGAATCAGTCCAGATAGTGCATGGGGTTACATTAAACTGCTGGAAGTGACCGTTAGTCCTGATCCTGATCAGCCTCACGCACCAGGAAGTGTGGTGCTTGTGAAGGACGGCTGCAGAAATCGAGATTTCGCGTCAATAATTCCTCATCAACCGGCCCGCTATCGGGAAAGAAAGAATGAAGTTTTCCTCGATTTTGAAGCCTTTCTCCTCAGCTCTATGAGAGAACGATCCACGTTGTGGATCCACTCGCAGATCAAGGCTTGCATGGAACCGCAGGATTGCCAACCGGTAAGGACATAATTTGCGGTCGAACCTATCTCGTGGTCGACGACTGAATGAGTGGCTATTGACCTGTTCGGCTGCGTAATTTGATGTCTGTGGCAACGAAAACATTCGTTCTTTAACCCGCAGCTTTCAATGAAATTGTGGCTTTGCAAATGACTATTTGCGCACGTTCTTCATGAAACGGTTTTAACATAAAAAATAATATCTATATCGAAGCGTTAAGATATATGTTGTATATGTTATTGAACATTAATTAGCAGAGATTTTATTTGAGTATAATGGAACATTAACAGATTACCCCCAACAGACAAAAGATTAGTTCATTCTGGTCAATTCCTTTCCAATTATAGCAGTTAGATGAATAACAAATAATATAATTTAAATGACACCGATTATGGTACACATACATCAACTGCAATCGACAAAATATATATATCAATTTAATAGAATAAATTTTGTTACAATAATAAAATTGGGTTTAATTATCTACAAGTGATATCAAAACATTCAATAATATTAACAATTTGTTATTTTAAACCCAAATTACTACGAATTATTGAATGAAAAATTTGCAAATATTTTCATTGCTAATAACAATGCTTAATAATAGAAAATAATAAAATTAGTATTAATATTAAGTAATCAAAATTTATTAAAAGTTTTAACAATCTTCAAAACTACTTATTCTGTTTATACAAATTTTTAAAAATGAGTAACAAAATCAGGAATTTATTAAATATCTATTTACAGGATTTTTGTCTTGATCTTTTTGAACCATCGGGACACGGAAAAAGAAAGAAAAGATCAATCGAAGAAGCTTCAAATGAGTTCTTTCCTAAACTTGATCGTTTAATAAAAGAATACAATGATTCGACGCCTTACACAAAGTTTAAAGAAAATATTGAATATACAGTGATGATGCCTGATGGTAAGTTTCAAAATAAAGTGCATTTCTCTACTGTAAAATTCATTAATTATTAACTTCGTGGTCTCTAGACTTATATCAAAAGGTGGCTGCTGGACTTGAAAACAGCTGCGGTAGTTTTCTTTACGTTGCAACCGGATTAGGTGCACTTCTTGTTTTATCAGCTTTTATCATGTGCTATCTAGCAACGCGTCTTCACAACTTATCATCAACTGTACCACAAAATAAATCGATCGACGAACTGGTACGAGATCGTGCTAGAAAATATTCCGAACCAACGCCAGGTTATACAGGCCGGTCTACGGTACAATAGTGAAATACAAATCTTACATCTTATTATGCTTAATCAAAATGAAACAGCAGTTTTTGTGGAATAAAATGAAAAACTAAATTAACAACATAACTCATAGTACGAATATAAGGAATATGTTATACAAAAATAACTAAATTTTATTACAATTATTAGTATTTTTATTAATGCCGGCAAGCTTTAAGAGATTACTAAGTAAGGACACAGAGTTTCAGATATAATTAATATATTAATTAATATATTTATGCCTTTTATTTAAATTAAAATAGATGAAATCTAATTAGGCTTGATAGAATTATTGTAAAGACATAAATATAGACTGCTATTTATAACATAAAAAAACAAATGTAATTTATGAACTTTAGCAAATATTAAATTTTCCACTATTTTTCTTCCTAACTGATCATTCACTTTGCACGTTTCATACAACAAATTGCACGAAAAATTTATTTTATTACATTTTTCACATTAAATATTTATGATTTGCAAACTTACATCTTTGCTATCTCAATATAAATTTATTAAACGTGCAGTGCTATTACGTGACCTGAAACAGTGCATATGTAATCTCTAGTAGTAAGTAATTTTAGATTAATTGTATTAATTTATTAATTGTAGAATTATTTGTGCCCATTATGGTTAAATATGATGTATCGGGATTTTTTCGGTGATTGTGTAAGTTCGACTCAATGTATATATATACACGTGATAGAATATTATTTATTGTTCATAAATGAAATTTTATCATTTAAGAATTTTAGTTATAAATTTCAAATAGGTAAATAAATGTAACAAAATATTTATTGTATTAATATAATTATATACAGTAGTTATTTAATACGAAATAAAATGTTACTACATATTTATAAACGCCGTTATACTTTTAAGAATGTTAAATTGCTGGACAAAATTAAATTAATTGCTCCACTTTATAACATTTTGTAGGATATTATTTTGTTATACTATTATTAATACAACAATACGAAGTGTGATAATGCTGTGCAATCGCACTTATAAATATATAGATAAGCGTATATAAAGATAAAAGTTCTATGTTCAAATACATTTCGATGTATACAGATGCACAATATCAAAAGCAAAAGCGTAAAATAGATTTCCTGTTCCATATTACTCGTACGATCAAAATTTTGTCTTCGGTTAATACTTTAGTTTCAGATAAAAATATTATATCACAAAATATGGCACTTACATTTTACATTTTATTTTACGATTTATTTTACATCATACGATATAATAAATCTTTACAAATACTACTCAATTGAATATGATAAGAAAATATATGTAATTAGTTTTAATGTGATTATACGAATCTTTAATGTTTAATATACAATAATTAAATGGTAATACGATAAAATATTCGTTTAAATAATTGATTATCTTTATATCACTTTAAAGTTGGCTATAGTCTATTACCTTTGTTTATTATAACATAGTTTTCATTTAAATAATGATCTCTTTTGAATTATAAATATATACATACACAGTTCATTATTAGTAGAAATTAATGATGATATTTAAAATTAAATACTAAAAAAGTAATAATTAATTCTATATTCTCATAACTATAAAATATGTTGAAATAAAACTGATCTTGATTAGAAGACATTTTAATTGATATACCTATAACATTATAAACATTATAATAGTACCAGAACATAATTAATAAAAAATGTTACATTTATTTATTTATATTTTTCACTATTTTTTATTTCTTTAAGCTTACTTATTGGATTATTTGGGAGTTTGATAAATTATATACTATTATGTCTTTAATCATTAATGATTTTATATTTAATTAATATGTGTAGACATACTTGAATCTGTAAATATATCTATGTTTTGGTTGAATATGATTGAACGATGCATTAAAATTTTGAAATCTCAGGTAAAAATACAATTAAAATGATACAGCTAATATGACATAATTAATTATCCTGTATTTAGCAAATTTTTCTTCAATTCTGTCAACGAAGAGAAAGTACACTTAATAAAAATTATTGAATATTTGTAAATGCCTAATTATTTAAGAAATGCTATTAGCAATCTTTTAAAATTCGTTTTAATATATTGAAATTGCTTTAATGTAAATATATATTACGTTTATTTGTAATGCACAATTAAAATTCAATTATAAAAGTATTCAAATGTTACTTTTAAAAACCATTGAATAAAAATTGGCCTAGTGGTCTTAAAACTCTTACAAATGCTTTTGATCTGAAAGCTAGTTATATATAATATCCATAACATTATCATAAAAAATTAAAAACCAGATATCTTCAGTTTCTATAATTATCATGTAAATTATATTATAATAAAAAATCATGTAATATTTATTTAGTCACATAACTTCTAAATTTATTTTATTTTATTAAGTTATTTAACAAAATATACGACAAAACATGTTGAATAATAAATTTCAGTTTGTATTTGAAGCAACCAAAATATTATTTCAACAAATATACACACTAACCATATTTAAAATGAAACATGTAGCTCAGTTTAATTTAATTTTAAGTTAGCATAAAAAATATAAATTTTGTTCCACACAAAATATTTTTCTAAATCCGGTCTTTAAAGAGATAAATACAATTTATTTATTACAATATTATTCACCAATTATATTTCGAATGTAATAATACATTTATGATCAGAAACTATATAAAAATTGATATAACTGAGTAAAAAATAAAACAGAAGTAAAAAAAATATAAAATAAATTTTTATTTTTTATGTTATTTTATTTTTATATATAGTAACAATGATTATTAACTTAATACTAAATTATCATAAAAGTTAAATTTTTATGCTATTAAAATTCATAAAAATAAAATTAAAACTAGGAGAACATATTGAAGTATATTCATGTAGATGTGACAATGAATATTATTGATATATTTAATTTAAAATATAATTTGATTTTAATGTATTTAATTTATCTTATAATAGATGGCGCTGCTAACTAAAGACTTATACTTTTCAATGCAGTTGAACGTCTTGTACTTCATTTTGTTCACATGATTTTGTACTTCAACCAATCAGAAGAAAGTGTGAAAATTCGTTATTTTGAAATAGAATTGAATGTACATTTATACTAGAAATATTATCCTTGTATAGAATTTGCACTTTCCATTTTGAACGTAAGTCTTTTAACTATTGTTATTCATTTTTTATTGCACATCTGTTTGAACATTAAATATTATTTTCTTTGTTTAAAAATACATTCATTATTTGTACAAAATATTCATAAACATTGATTCATAAGAAATCGTTCAATTGATACATTATATTATTTTATCTGAAAATTGTTTATAAAATGTTAATCCAAAGAATGTGTATATTTATATGAAGTTTAAAATTTGTTATTTATTTACAATTAACTTGTGATAATAATGAACTTGTATGCTGTGATTAGTTTTTAAATTTTGTGGTATGTAATAGATTAATAATTTGTAAAGAAATTTCTATTTGTTATTTGTATTATATTTAATTGTAGGTGATATTTAAGCAATGCTAAAGGATAATAGAACTAATCCTCAAACACGAAGGACAATTTCACAAGTAGAACATAATCTTAAAGAATTAAAAATATCGAAAGTGGCTTCTGTGTTGATTGAGAATACTTCATATAATGCACAAAATTTAGATATTGCAAAGAATCAATGCAATACCTATTTGCAAAATAAAGAAAATAATTTCAAAAAATCTACAGAATTGATGCCGCCACCTAAATTACCTGTATCTTCTAAAACAATAGACTGTGTATCAAATGTAACTGATGTTGAAAAAAGTAAAGCTGACAAAAATTTTAATATTGAAAAAAATGAAGAAGAAAATATTACAAAAAGTAAAAAACAAAATGAAAAAAAGTGGGTTTTAACTGATTTTGATATCGGACGACCTTTGGGGAAAGGAAAATTTGGAAATGTTTATTTAGCTAGAGAAAAAAAATCAAAATTTATTATTGCTATGAAAGTACTGTTTAAAGCACAAATACAGAAAGCTGATGTAGAACATCAAGTTAGAAGAGAAATAGAAATTCAAACACATTTAAGGTAAAATTGTTAAATATTTGTAATAAAAAACAAATACAGATATTTTTTGTTATACAAATTTTAATATTTCAGAATTTATTTAATTCATATTTTATCATATTCATTTCATTTTTACAATATTTTTTTAATTGTTTTTCATGCAGACATCCAAATATTTTAAAAATGTACGGCTATTTCCATGATGATAAAAGAGTATATTTAATTTTGGAATATGCTCCAAATGGAGAATTATTCAAAGAATTGAATGCTCAACCAGGAAAGCGTTTCAATGAAATTAGAACAGCAACATACATATCTCAACTAGCAGATGCCTTGAAATATTGCCATAGTAAAAATGTAATACATCGTGATATCAAACCTGAAAATTTATTACTTGGTATTAAGGGTGAATTAAAAATGGCAGATTTTGGGTGGTCTGTACATGCACCCTCTTCTAGAAGAAATACTCTATGTGGCACTTTAGATTATTTACCACCAGAAATGGTTGTTGGAAAAACACATGATCATACTGTAGATTTATGGGGACTTGGTGTTCTTTGTTATGAATGTTTAGTCGGCACTCCTCCATTTTTAGCTACAACTTATGAAGAAACATATCTAAAAATCAAAAAAGCTCAATATAAATTTCCAGACTTTATTAGTGAAGATGCTAGAAATTTAATATCTAAGGTAAGTTGTGGTTTTATGTTACCAACTAATTGAGCAATTCAAAAGATTGTTCAGAGTATCAAATGAAAATTTATTTTTTTGTTTCAGTTATTAGTAGTTGATCCAGGACAAAGATTACCCTTAAAAGATGTTTTGACACACCCTTGGATTGTACAAAATCGAACAACAGAACCACATGTACCATAGTAATATTGCTAAGTTAATAAGATTTATAGTTTATCTTATAAAAATTATTATAAAGTGTTTCTTATATGACAATTGTATTTCATTGAATAGAATTCAAAGAATTTTCCAATAGAAATTTAATTTAACTTTTCTACTGTTGGAATTATTATACAAGAACTCTCATGCGCAAAAAATTATTTTAAACTTTTTTTTTAGATATTTGTAAGTATATATAGCTATTTTAAGTATATATTTAGATAATTTTTACATTTCTAATATTATTACCTCATGCATAAGATATAATTTAATATTGTGAACTACATAATCTTTGGGGTCTGTGTTCTGTTAACAAAAGGTAATTATAATTTGATACAATTTTTATCTTTTAAAATACAATTTTAATATAATGAATTACTGAAATTCATTATTTTAGTTGACTTAAATTATGTAATCGTTAGCTTATCTATATTAGAGTGAAATGGAAGTGGTGAAGGTATATTATATATTCTAATAATAAATTATAAGTAATAATGTTGAATAAAGTAAAAAAAAGTGATGTATAAGAAAATCATGTATATATTAAGTATTTTAATATAAATAAAATATTTATGGATAATAAATTTTACATTTACATGATTAAATATCTTTTATTATCAAGTATGTTAAAAAATAAAATTAAATAGTTAATTAGCTTTTGTAGCTAAAAAGACCAAGTAAATAACTACCAGATGATTTTTACTGATAAAAATTAATTTACAAAATTTTGAGATGGTGGTACTTTATATATCAAGTAAACGTTTGTTTAAACTGAAGGAAATTGTTTAAATTACTCAAAAATATGTTGAACATAAATTTTATTTGTTTATAAAAATTTTATAAACACATATTTGTTTATAGAAATATTACTAGGATAACTTTTATAATGCAGATATTCAGCATTTGAAAATAAAGAACAAGTTCCGTTTTTATCTTAGAATAGTAAATTAAGGACTAATTTTACAGTTATATTTTCGATCATCGGAGATAAACGCTAAAATACCTTAACTATAAAAATAAAGTTAAGGAGTATAGTATGTATCTTTTGCGTGAGATTCACTGTTATCCGCTTGAAAGTACTTTGCAGTGGAAGATTTTTTACATGCTTAAGATTTGTCTTTTTTCACGTTTCCATGGGTTCCATAACTACATCTACTATAGGTGTATCTATTGGAGTTTCCATAGGTGTATCGTCTGATTTTTTTTTAATTGAATACAATCTCTTTAATTTTTCATAGTGTTTGATATCCTACAAGTTATAGTTTGTAGATATATGATTAATTTCTATGTAAAAATAATAATAAAATGTTGATTTTTACTGATGAAATAGATTAGTTTACCTTCTCTTGTACGGACGGCCTTATTTTATCAAACGCAATTAAGATATGCCGCATTGAAATTTCTGGTTGTCCCGAGTAATGCATATCTATTAATTCTCTTAATGCTTCTATACCAGCTTCCCTGATTAAAGCTGCTAAATCAGCTCCAGTATAACCATCACATTTACTATTATATCCTATTTCTTCAAGGTTTACATTTGCAGCTAATTTTGGTTTAGTTGCATTCTATATATAAATATTTACTTTTAAAAGGGACAAATTTATTAAAAATATGTTTTTGTTGCTAGTTTGGAAAAACATTACCTTTGTTAATGCTCTTAAGATATCAACGCGATCTGCTGAGGTAGGCAAATCAACATACAAAATTTTGTCTAATCTTCCTGGTCGTAATACTGCTGGGTCAATGATGTCAGGACGATTACTCGCAGCCATTAAAAATACCCCTTGTCGTCCTTCTACTCCATCCATTTCAGTCAGCATTTGATTTACAACGCGCGAAGTTGCAGAATTATCACCTTCTGATCGTCTAGGACACAATGCGTCCAATTCGTCAAAAAATATAACACATGGAGCTGAATTTCGAGCTCTAATAAAACACTGTCGCACTGCCTTTTCACTTTCACCTACATACTGAAATAACAAAAATAACATATTTAATAATTATATTTTATAATATTAATTTCTTGAATTAAAATTATTACCATATTTAAAAGTTCTGGTCCTTTAACAGAAATGAAATTAATACCAGCTTCGTTTGCAATAGCTTTAGCCAACAATGTTTTTCCACAACCAGGTGGGCCACATAATAATACTCCAGTAGGCGTTGTTAATCCTAACGCTGTAAAGTGTTCGGAATGTCGAACTGGAGCCTAGCATATTAAATAAAAGAATATTTTTTTTAATGTATACCAAATTATTCGGATACTTTTAATTATATCAATATAAATATATATATGTATATATATAAGTACAAGTATAGCCATTTGCAATTCTTCTCTAATATCCCGTAACGAACCGACATCATCCCATGTAACATCAGGTACTGTTGCAAAGCCCTCCCTTTTGGCTGATGGCTGAATAATACGAAGAGCAGTTTCGAAGTCGCTATGTTCAATACATAAATTCGATAGCCGTTCTGAAGGAAGCGGTGGATCATTACGTAACCATGTAAGTAATCCTGTTAAATCTGGAGATTTGGAATTTTCTTGTATTACATCCATTTCTAAAATTGCTTGTGAACTTTCTGGATTATTTGTCTTATTCAACTTAGGAACGTTATTTTGATCTGAGGTAGATGGTTCAATGGTTACTTCTTCGACTAAATTACCAGTATTCTCAAAATTTTCATTTTTTTGTTCAATAACAGTACTAACTTCTGAAATTTCTGAAGATTTATTATCTGGTACTGATTTTAAGTTTTCGAGTATTCTAACAAACAAATAAGGATATATAATTTATTGTATCAAATAAATTAATTTTAAAATACTTATTAATTATTTAAACAATTACCTGTCCACAGCTGCCATAGCTGCTTCTCTAATTAGTGCAACTAAATCGGCACCAACAAAACCTGGTGTAAGGGAAGCTATTGTAGATAAACTAACATTTGGGGCAAGTGCTACCTTCTCTGTATGTACAGCTAAAATTTTTGCTCTCGCATCTCTATCTGGAATTCCCAGACACACTTCATGATCAAATCGACCAGCCCGCCGTAATGCTGGGTCTAATGAATCGGGCCGATTTGTTGCTCCAAGTACTAATACTCTAGTACCATTTTCTTTTAAACTTAATTCTATTTGATAATATTGTTTTTATTATTTATTTATTATTTTTTGTATTATTATAATTTAGTTCCAATAATAATTACCATCCAAACATGATAATAATTGTGCAACAATTCTTCTTTCCATTTCTCTTTGAGCCGTCGCTCTGTGTGGTGCTACAGCATCAATTTCATCTAAAAATATTACACATGGTGCAATTGCAAGTGCTTGTTCAAATAACTCTCGAATTCTAGCTTCACTTTCGCCAGATACTCCTGCTACTAATTCAGGTGCTGCTACTTTTAATAATGGTACACTTAATTCCTAGTTTTTAAAAATATTAAATAAATAATCCAATAAGAAATAGACCAACTATTTATAATAATAATAAAAGAAAATATCTTACTCCTGCAATAGCATATGCTAATAAAGTTTTTCCACATCCAGGTGGTCCATGAAGTAAAAATCCCCTTGGTGGAGATATACCAAGCTGTTTAAAAATTTCTGGATGCTTCATATGTGCAAGTAACTTACATACAGTTTTTAAAACTTTATCATTTCCTCCTATGTCAGCAAATGTAATTTTTGATTCAGATATTGGTATTCCTTTGGTCTTTTTTATAAATGTAAACTGACTACTATCAATATCTTTATCGCGCTGCCTTTTTTTAGTAGGTTGTTCTATTGTTGTGTTTGTAGTTGTTATAGTAGCTGGTGTACCTACTATTGTGGCTTGCACTTCTTTACTGGGCTGGAAAAATGAAATTAATTTTGACATATTTTATATGTCAATGATAATATTTTGACATAATGGATTTTATGTATCAATAGTGTTATTTTGATATAAATTTCATATTAAGTTACATTTAAAATAAATTATATTAATCAATCATAAAATGTATTAAATTTACTGTTTTTAGTTGCTCAACTTCTTTAGTATGTATAGGTTTCTCTGTATTTGAGGATGGACCAGGTTTTTGTTGTAAATTCTTTTCCATGACTTCAGGTTCATTAGTTTTATTAGAATTTGTCTCCACTTTGCTTACATCATCATCACTACTAATGTCTATAAGTTCTTTATCACTAGAATTTCCATTCTGTTTATTTTGTGACTTTTTATACATTTTTAATAGCATACCCTCTAACACAGTATTTTGTGGATCTGACTAAAATCAAAATATTTTTTTCAAAATTTTCTATATACATATTAAATTACATATATAAATACCTCAACATCAACTTCTTCCTCTTCATCTTCATCAGCATAAGCAGGCCATTCACGAGAACAATATTTCTTTGCAAACATTTCTGTAAGTTCATCATATGCTTTACGCACTAATGCTCTGAAAGGACCCCGTTTTTTAATTCGGTAGTCTCTATATTTCTTTTGTAAAGCATCTGCCATTTCATTAACATCAATATAAACTTTATTCTCATTTTCATGCATGTACTAAAAGAATAAAAAAGTAAATTAACTATTGAAATGAAACTCGAAATACAGTTTAGTATGAACTCTAAATACAGTTTATATTTTTTCAAAGCTAACTAAAACAATGATTATATTACTTTGATTATTAGTTAAAGAAAACTAAGAGCTGTAAAATGTAAAGTATAATCAAATCTAACTTAAAAAAAAAAATTAAATACAAATTATATTTGTATATGTTTTTGACCACTCTGTATACAGATAGAAAGAATATAAAGTAAAAAATATAAAGTTGTATTATATGTTTTCAAGTTTAATGCATAAATTTACCGCGCAAATTGTATAATATAAAAAATTTGTTGATTTTAGACACTTTGTTAAATGAAAAATTTTAAATGTTATAAAATAACTAAATTACCGTTTGTACACGTGAAATTAATAACTGATCCCGTAAGTATTTGTGAGAAGAATCAATTTTATGTTTATTATTCATAGTTTTTGATTTATAATCTCCACTGGATCCTTGTAATGGAATGATATCAATTGAAGAATTTAATTTTCCAACCTTCTGCATTTTTCTAATGTCAGGCGTCATGAACACTATTGCAAAGATTAAATGACCACTAGATATTTATTTTTGCTTTCTTATACGTTTTGACACGTGTTATCATGTATGTATCAACATTCTTACATCACGAGTGCGTCTTCGATTTTACGAAACTTCAATTCTTCAACTGTAATGGAAAGAAGACAATACATCGATAAAGCGGGAATAATTTCCCTAGTAAATTATGTTAAAGAACTAGAAATAAAAAAAACATTATAGAGTGGAATGTGTTCAAAGATCATTTGAAACTATTATTACACTATGAGAAATTATATTACATAGTTCATTAAGCTATAAAACAATATTTATACCAAAAATTTTCAACACTTCTTACTAATACTTATTTTGTTATATTTATATATCTTTTACGCGAATTGTTTGTAAAAGAAATTTAAACTTAATTATAGAAATGAAAATGAGTTGCATATCTGTATTACATCAATCGTGTAGTACACATGCGTATTTCGTGGAGAACGTTAAGTATTTTGTGAAAGCTCCATACCATACTTTTCAACTAGTCGACGGCACACCATCATGGCGATGGGTTTTAGTTGCATCTTTGATTTACAATTGAGAAATTTATCGTGATGGTCTGAATCGCATTTTTTTTATAATTATTTTTAATAACAGTAAAAACTTTCATTAATACTTTATTTCAACTACATTCATATGAATTATAAATTTCACTATGGTAAAGTTAACAGAAGAAATGGTCGTTGCTCGGACTCGAATGTCCGATTTCTCTGCCGTAAAGAAACTTAATTGTTGGTAAGTATTTATAAAGATATTATACTTTTTAAACAAGATAATATTTGTTCTATCATTATCTAATTATGTTTATATGTAACTACATTAAAATGACATGTTCAATATAGTATATATTTTTAACAGTAGTTATAAATGAGTAATTAATAGTTTTTTATCATGTTCTTATCGAATAATGGATTATTCCAATTATTAATTCATTACTATATAGTAACATTCTGTTTTTTGTGGAAATGTATTAGTTTCTGTTATACTCCATAAAATAAAATAAGAAAATTTATTTATATTTATTTAATATAAAATTATTACTTGAAATGTACATTTAAATTTGTAAAATTGCATTGACTAAAGTAAATTTAAATTTAAAAAGTGCGATGATATTTAAATATATTTAATTTATAATGTAAAACAGTTAAAAACTATTATGCATTTGTTTTTATAAAATGATTTTTTGTATCTGATATATCAATTTCGAGAAATATAATTTTGCAATAATATTTGGATATTGATATTAATATATTATTAATATAGGGGTACAGAATTAACTGATGTGAGCATTTTAAGGAAAATGAAAAATGTGGAAGTATTGTCATTAAGGTAATTAATTAAGATTGATTTTTATGTTGAGGTATATTGTTTGTTATATGTATAGAAATGTTATTTAATTTTTGGTGTTTAGATATATTATTTGTTGTTTTTATAGAAATTGTTTTGTAAAAAGATTTTGTAATAGGTATGATCTCAGTTGTTTATAACGTTTAATATTACAGAATCTTTAATGCATTCCTACTATGGACAGGTTTATATAAACCTCAAGATCATAGGCACAACCCACAACTTCAGAAGTTGTTCTACCTACACATTTTGAATTCATTGTAATATACTTCAATATTATTTAAATACTGGTACATAATGTTTCTCATAAGATAATATATTTTTATATTTAAATTCATGATTTTCTAAAACTAATAAAATTTAAGATTTTCTATATAATTACCAACATTATTAATATTAAAAACTATAGTAATAAATTTTATTTAAATTAATTTAAATAAAATATAATAATATAATATAACATCTTTTACACATTTAATATGTAAAATTTTCACCTACTTTATGTGTTTTTCTATGTAAGATAATTACATTTTATTTTAGTAAGTTTATATATTTTGGTAAACATGTAACTTTCTACTTTAAAATTTTATATTACATGTGGTTTCATATTTTTTATTCTATTTTTAAACACAGTACAATCATAATATAAATTGTTTTTGTTCATTATACGGTTATCTCTGTTGCAAAATATAATGTCCTTAAAGTATTTATTTAATATTTATATATAAATAATTCATTTGTATAATTGTTGTAAATGTTAATTAATGAAATATAGTATTAAAAATGTAAATAAACTTTGCTATAAACATTTCTATACATAAGAAAAATTAATATACATATTTACACTAATACTATGTTATATTTTAAAATTATTTTCATTTGTTTATAGTGTTAACCATATCAATACCCTTGCTGATTTTCAATTCTGCTTAAGTCTTCAAGAATTATTTGTTAGAAATAATAATATTGAAGATTTGAATGAAGTTTGTTATCTTCAAGGTTTACCAAATTTAAGAAATTTATGGCTTGATGAAAATCCTTGTGCTGAGAAAGAAGGGTATTATATATGGCATTATATTATTTACTAATTATTTGAATAATTTGTTAAATAATTAATCTACTTCTAGGTATCGATTAGCAGTACTAAGAGCTTTACCAAATCTACAAAAACTTGATAATGAAATAGTATCACCTGAAGAAGTGCAAACTGCATTAACAAGAGGTCGTGTTTTGGTCCATCCTCTTCTTGATATGTATGCTTCCCCACCACAATCAGATGCAGTTAGTCCAGAAGTAAGATTATAAAATTGTTTTCAAATATATTCCTATAAATTATTCTTTATTATTTTGTTCCTATAATATCTTCATTAAAATATTTATTCGGTTTTATTAATGATATGTGTTATGTATATATGATTAACTGAAGCTAGTATTCAATTTTAACCTATATATTATCTATTTTATTTAATATTATCATAATGAGTTCATTAAATAAAAGACCTGATATTTTAACACATTTTTAAGTCTTAACATTTAAATGACATTTACACAAATAGGATATTACTACTGAATATATTGAAGGATCTGAAGTGATACGACATCGAAGATATAGTTCCTCAAGTGATCAGGTAATATAAAATACAGGCTGTTCCAACTATTTTCAGAATAATTTCATTTCTAATAATTTTATAAAATCTTTATGATAATTTTGTTATAATAATTGCATATTATGTTGGCGCTATAATATCATATTTGTTCACTTCTTTAATATAAAGAGACAGTTTCTTATATGAATATTTATTCACAGAGAAGTTTTGAAGAAACACAACACGCTCAAGAAGAATATCATGATCCAGACCATAGAAATGCAAATTATAATGCATCGCCATCTCATCATTATTCTCAAAATAATCAGTATGCATATGAGGTAAGTCATTTATATATTCATCTTGCATGTAAATAAAACTTATACCGATATATTTATATGTGTAATGAAGATGTAAAAGAAAGTGATTTATGTATCAGAGTTTTTAATAGATTATTTTTATTTTTGTACTAAACTTAGAGATATAATTAATTTTTTATCTTAGTAACATTGCTGAGCAAAACGTTTAAGTTAATATTTAACAAATAAGCATGATTTTATTATTGCTCCTTTTGTCTGCAATCATATACTGACAGCAACAGAATGGACAGACAAAGAATCAAAGCAAAGATGACACTATACGTACAGAGTCGCGCAACGTCAGTGAAAACGTGGCCACTAACACTATTGAAATGATCAAGGTACATTTTATAGATTGCACAATGCGATTGCAAAATAGTAGTTTGTTACTAGTGTTACCTTGATAGTCCTAGTATTCATTAGTTAAACTTATATATTATGTACAATTTATCAGTTAGTAATGTTATTATAATTTTAAGTGATTTTCTTTAATTAATAAAAGAGAAATGAATTACAGAAAGAAAAATATGAATTAAGTATAAAATCTTATGTATACTTAAATATATATAATATATACAAGATGTTTCCTTGAATTTGGGACAGTTGAGTATATGTAAAGGATTAAACCTATTACAAAAATGTTTTAACATAAATTGTTATAAAGGAGGATATAATTGTTTGAGAATAATTAGTTTATTTTAATTAAATGGCCTTATATGGGAAGGTGCTGATTTTATCACAACAAATACTATTATGTTATATATATACTTATTGTAAACAACTATTGTTAAAACATTTTTTTAGTAGATTAATCCTTCTTAAACTATTTTACTGTTTTCAGTTCAAGGAATACTTTGTATACTTGTTTATCCAAGACTGAAATCTAAAATGTCTATTTTTTTCAATATAAAAATTAATCACAAAAAAGAAATGATTCGTGATTTTAAAAAAAGATCATAAATTTTGTTATGTTATGTGATGGTATTTAAATATTTCTATATTTAACTGCTTTTTTCTATGAATAACAGTTATCATTTAGAAAATAATTTAGATTCCAATGTTAGATAAATAATTAATAAGTGATTTACTAAAATCACCAAATACATCTTAATTATTAACTATATATTAATTTTTTAATATTTATTAAAACTCAGAAAATTAATTATAAGTGCTAATATGTAATACTATAATTGAAAATAAATCTGAAAAATTTCTTGTACTACAATTATTTTTAGGAGTATGATGACCAGCCAGCAATTTCTAGACATAATGGAGATTATGATGAAAGAAGAACTTATTCAGAATTCGGTAATAATGATACATCGCAACGAACATATGCATCAACATCACCAAGGACACAATACTCTACAAATGAAGTTATAGATGAAAGACGAACAGAAAGAAATAATTATGATTATGATAATAGATTGAAACCTGAATATAAAGAGCAACATGATCATAGAATAAAATCAGAATATGAAGAGCAACATGATCATAGGATAAAATCAGAATATGAAGAGCAACATCAACCATCATCCCAACCTAGACGAATAGCAGCTCAGCATAATATAGAAAGGGTTAAAATCAAAATTAATATGAAACTTATACAAATTAGAAAAATAAATAAAGTAGTATTTTTTTAACATTACAGGAAGATTCGAATCAAGTACCTGGATGGGTAAGACATTCTGATAAGGAAAAGTGTAGATCACAGTTTCATTACCATAGAAGGCCAGTTACAAGGGTATGTTTCATATACTATGTTATATAAATCTAGTAATGTGGGCTAAAGGTAACATATAACATATTTTGATTTTAGAACTCAAATATATTATCGGCTGTATTATGTTTAGTTAAGGAGCTTGATTATCCGAGTTTAGAAGTGGTAGAAATGGCTGTTAGAAATCGAATGGATGAACTAGAAGAATGATGTTTCTGACGCCGTCCCCAAAACACACAGGGGACGGTCGCCTTCTCTCATATGGGCAGTGTTTCTTCAATTCCAAGTCCAGAATTTTCGGATTCTCTCGATAGTATAATTCCTTGTCAGTGCGTTGATAATGATGCAAACTGTAATCTTGATCATCATACTTATGATCGACCTTTGATTGATGATAGTGCTGATAAACGTCAAATTCGTCGTAATGGATGTATAGAAACTTGTTCAATACGAAGCTCAAAAAATGCATCTGTTCATCCGAATTTAAGATATTTTGGAAACAATCAGAATGCATATAAGCTTAGGGATTCTGTACCGGATAATCTAATGTCAGTAGTTGGTAATTGCGAAGAAAAAAGAGCCAATGATGTTAGAAGAGTGGCAAGTAGTGACAGCATCCCTCGTAGTGGCTTTAATGGTTTAACTCTAAGTCCAGGATGCAGGGTTTTAAGTCAGGATTGTGTAAGAAGGTCAAAAAGTCCCGATGTTAGAAATACAACTGTCCCTCTTCGTTACATTCAGTCGGCAAAAGGTACTTGGACATATAATTTATAAATTATATTGCAATTAAAATTAATACTCTCTCGAAATAGAAAGATTTCTTTTAGAAATATATTTCGAGAAATTCCTAAACATTATTAAGATAATCATTGCATAACTAACAAAATGGCATAGTCTTGTCCAGTTTCTGAAGGAAATATATATAAAATTAGAAACAATTGTGATATTTCTCCAAGGAGTAAAAAATAAAATTTTAATTCAATTATTCTGATGTAATATACAATATATGAGTATACTCAAGATGACATGTTTATGTACTTTAAGTAAGTAATGCAAAAATCAAAAATAATGAATTTTGCATTGTTTAAAATAAATTTAATATTCATTACATTGATAACATTGAATGTAGTTACTTAATTATACATGAAGTAAATGTTACATTAATGTTATATTAATTTTGGTATAATGTTGTTCATGATTTTCATAAATATAAATGGAGTTGTGTTTTGCATAGCTTTTTATAAGAGTTTGTTTGAACTATTACAAAACTGTTATGTATTTTCAAAGATTTTCTATAAATTACAACGTGATATGACATATTTAAATTACAATTTGTATATAAAGCATATAATCAAAGATGAATTTATGTGGAATTAAATATTTTTAAAAGAAACGTAGATAACTTTAAGTTAAGTAAAATATTCTAATTATGTTTAATATCTATAAAAATTAAATCCCAGCAATGAGCAGTTATTTATGAAATAAAATGTAACATAATTGCATATACACTTACACAAAATACTTTATAGTTTCTGATCAATAATTACAATAATTTTTAAATTATTATTGTATACTGTGGAAAACTATATTTGCTCTTTTTAACAAATACTTTTATACATGTTCATATTTATTTAAAAAAACATTTAAACTTGTGCAAAAATTTTATGTTTAATATATTCTTTAATTATTTGTTATTTTTATTATTGAATTTATGTACACATTAACAAAGTATAAATATAATAACAATTTCATTAATATTAATTGAATTGTAAACAAAATTGTACTTACAATAATATTAAAAACAGTATAATGAGAAAATAAAATATATGGGAAAGGAGTCTGTGCAACAGCACGTACTATAGATTAATATTAGACTGATAAATACGTATGGCATATTTTTTGGAATAAAATCTTCATATGTTACAAGTGGGTAAACGGTGTAGAACCTGACATAACAGGGCTAATAAATTCTTTCTACAATTTAAACCGTTCCATGTAACTAAGCCAATTTTGAACTTAGATTTAAGATATTTTATAAAATTGCGGAATACAATATCTTTTGTTATATATATATAACCGTCCACTTATATTATTTTATAAACTATTAATATTATTGTTATTTAGTATTGTTATAAGAACTATAATTATAATTAATTGCCTAATATCTGTTCAGCATAAAATATAGATGTTATATGTTTCTTTTTTTGACTTAAAACATGTTTTGAGACAAATTATATATAATAAAATCAAAAGTTGTAATACATGTTTTTCATTTAAAATCTGATTAGTATTGTCAAAGTTTTGACTGAAAGGGGAAATTTAATTTTGTTATTTACAAATATGTTATTCCATAAATATTATATTTCTTAAGAATTAATTATTTATGATAACATATTTTTTCTGATTAATGTATACAGTTATAAATAACTTATTACAGATGAAATATTAATAAGTTTTACAAAATAAATTAGTAACAAAAATAATTATTATTGATTTTTTAATTTTTATTATTTACAAGCAAAATGCAATTTACTTACTATTTAAAGAACATTTGTTCATTGCTGTAAGTTACAAATATCACGCAGTCTCATTTAAATACATTACGTCGGTTAATTTTATGTACACTTTTGTCGCTAAGACAACGCTATCGGTGAAAGTAATTCATACGTGTACTAAAATCATAAAAGTACTTTACATTTGAAAGTGAAATTAAATAATTAAAAGAAAAAAATGTCATTATATGCAACACCAATACTTTATTTAAACATGGGAGGTGAAATGTTATATGTTTTGCGACAAAGACTGAAGGCACAAAGAATAAGTGTTGATAAAACTATACAAGGCTAGTTTAACATTGATATTTGAGATTTTGTGTATTTTCTTTATATATTTTGATTTGTTTCAAAATGTTTTTATCCTGCTTACAGTGTTAGATGATGTAACTGCTGCTCTACTTAATCCTAAAATATTATCTTCTGTATTTGATGAAAAACCTTTGACTAAAGTATCTCTTTTAAGATCTACTTTAGAATGTGTTGTATTGTCATCAATAATGAAACTCGATAAGAGTAGTATGAATAAATTATTTGATCTAATGATTATGATGGTAAAATATCAATTATCCGTAGCTACTGGTCCTGTAGAAGTTGTATTGTTAACGTTAAATCATACAGACGCAATGCGCGATATGGTTAGTAATCCAAATGCTCAACAATGTGTTGGATTAGTACATCAGATGGTGATCGATGTAAGCATTTTCTTTATTAATTAAATTATTTCTATAAATTAAATATCTAACAATAAGTTGATTGTCGATTCTACAGTTTTATGGAGCTTTAAATTTTCAAGAAATTTGGAATGCTAGGAATGATTGTGTGAAAGAATTAGAACATTATTGTGTGAAAGTATCTATTCTTCTTAGACTTGGATTACAAAATGATGATGGTAGTTTTAATTCAACATATCGCAAATATGACGAAAAATATGAAGAAAACAAAATTCGTCTTTCTGATATGAAATTACGCGATGTAAATTTTAAAACTTACTGTGATGGTTCTTTTAATATATTTGGAGAAAGAGGTACAATACTTGGCAAAAATATGTAAGTGTTCAATATTGATAAAATAATTATAAAATTTTTTAAGTTAAAAATACTTAATTATACAGAAACTATACAGGTATTCAATGACATATGGTATAGCAAAACTAACTTCTGGACAAGAAAATGATAATTATATAAAAGATTGTGGTACAAAAGCAGAACTTGGTATGTTAGCTGTTCAACTAGGAACTGAAGAAACTTCATATAAACGACCTTTTACCTTGAATTTGCTTCCAAATGAAGATGATGATAATGCAAATATAGTAAAAGATACAGATTTTAAGGAGGACAGTCAGAATGATATAGCAATTACAAAATATGGAAAAACAATATTCAATGAGGATTATAAAACAAAACTTGACATTATACGTGCAGATTTTTTTGATGATCATGAAGAAGTAAAACATAGCACGAATTTGTTGGAACTTTTGGATGAAGCAGAATAATTTTGTTTAATTTACTTTCCGATACTAATATCACACTAATTAATATAATAAATACAAATTTTCTTGCATTTTTCTGTCTATATTTATATGTTAATATTTTGTAACATAAACAAATATCTTTTTGTATGGAATAATAATATTATGATGTATCAATTTTATTTTTACACAGGATAAAAAGCACGTTTTCATAAATTTTTCATGTTAATATAATTAAATTATATTGATTTCTAATTACTTAATGTTAAGTCTTATTTAAATTTATTATGTATTAAATATTTGATAATGAAATATATTTTAAATTGCTTTATGATAGAATTTTATTTTAAAATGATTACAAAATATGTACTATACCAAATATCATAAAATCATTTTTTGCAGTATTGTCTATACACTAATAATTACTTCTAATGGATGTAAAAAAAAAAAGATATTAAATATCCAAAAAATACAATAATCTTATTAAAAAGACTAGTAACTTATGATGTACAAAAGAATTTACTTTATGGTTTAGTCATATCCAAAATATATTTTATACCAGTTCGACCATTCATATTCAATGCATTTGTAACAGCTTCCTGATACTGACAAAATGGAACTAATTTATGTGGTGGAGCTTTTAATTTTTTATCTTTAAATAAAGCTCCTAATTCACTAAACATACTTTCACGCTCTAGCGAATTCATATTTGCCTTTGTCCATGCTGTCATCCAAAATCCTTTTATTGTTATATCCTATTTAATTTTTTCTATTATTAAAAGCTATTAATAGTTTAATTATAATATAAATTATTTTACAAATTTTAATTAAAATACCTTAAAAATAAGTGCAGAAGTTGGAACTGTTAAAGGTTCTCTAGACATACCACCATAAGTTACCATAATACCTCCATGTGCTAAATGCCTTAAAACTTCCAATGCATTTTGTCCACATATACAATTAAGAGCTAATTTTGGTGAGGGTAATTTTTTACTTTTAAAAGTCTGAGTTTTTTTTACTTCATTTTCAGTAAAAATTTCATCTGCACCTAAACTTATCAAATAATCCTACAAAAAATTTTAATTTTAAATGAGAATAAAGATTCAACTTTTATTTTTTGTTATACCTTTAATTCTTGTATATTTGGTCTGTCTCTCACAACACTAACAGATTTATAATTCCATAGTTTGCATAATTGTATAACCATTTGCCCAACAGCTGAATTCCCACCATTTTGAATTACTGTATCTCCAGGTTTCAAAGATACAAAATCTTTAAGCATTCTGTATGCAGTACATGGATTTACATTTAACATGCTAGCTTCTATAGTGCCAACTTCTTTTGGAACCTAAAATTTTGATAGTCGTTACATCAATTATTGTATTATTCTAATAAATTTATAAGGCTTTTATACTTAAAAATATATTACATACTTTCATAAGTTCTTCTGAAGTATAATTTGCATGTGTTCTCCATGTTCCTAAATGTGAACCATTTGGTATAACTCTATCACCAACATTCAAATGTTTTATATTAGATCCAATAGCTATTACTTCACCTACTCCTTCATTTCCAGGAACAGCTGGTAAAGGTGGTTTATTTGGATATTTGCCTTGTATTGTATTAATGTCTGCTGGATTAACAGGTGCTAGCAACCATTTTACAGATACCTTTATAAAAAATAAATAACTTTTTATTATACTACATTAAGAATATATCAATATTTTAGTTGAAATACCTGATTATTTTCTGGCTTATTAATAGCTTGTGTTGTAACATGTAAGACATTTACAGGTTCTCCATATTCTTTATACAACAAAGATTTTACAGAATTTGTTTCAGCAGTTACACTCATTTGGCGAATTGATGTAAAATTTATGATAATTGATCGTGACAATGGTAAAATCAAATTTTTCACGTATGTAACCATTTCGGTGTTGTACACTATTCTTATTCAAATGTTCTTTAAAAATATAATTCTTTCAAATAGTTACGATAACGATTGAAAGAACATACGTTGGGTTACTATAATCATTACTTTAACTACATATACTAAATACATATGCTAAATAAATAGAATTACAATTTATATAATACATTATTCTATTACACATATTCAAATTTATAAAAAAGAATACTGACTAATAATTTTATTTAAATAAATATATCGATTTATTCATAAATTTTTATTTTTATTTTTATTTTATTTTAATATTTTACGAATGATATATTCTATATGTTTATGTTATTAAGCGAAGGAAAATTATATTTTTCAAGTTAAATTGAAATAACACTTATTCTACATATAACTGTTAATCATTCTTTTATGATTGGGACACCATATTAAGCTATTATTGGTTTACGTTATCAGTAATACCACGCATGAGTCAAGAATTTGTATGAATATATAGGGAATTTTTGTAAGATTAAAAAAGAAGTAAATAAAGTAAATAAAGTAAATAAGAAATATAATAACTTTCTAATCTTGAAAAGTAGTTCCAGTAGATAAAAGCAGTTGTAATTAATACTTTTTAACATGAGTTTAATAACCTCGAAATGTTACAAGTTACATAGTTAGTTACGATGTGACATTTCAATAAGTGACATCATATGTTTCTTCTTTAATTACGTGTAACAGTAGTTTTATACTTTATAATGTAAATAAAAGAATCAAGTATGTATGTTAATATAATTTTAAGGTAATTCATGAAATAAATTTAATATTCGAACTGTTTCAGATGTCACGATAGTTTTCTATATAATCTTGTTTATTGTTTTAATGAAATTAATGAATGAGAAAGGTTTATATTTTTTAATATTAATTCATTCATATTAAAGTGAGTGTAATAATGGAATTAAAATATTAAATTAAATCATTATAAATATTACTATACATGACTCTTTGTAAATTATAGATTAATGAAATTAGAAAAACAATGGCTTCAGAAATAGGTTCAATAAATAATGAATCTGTACATGTCAAGATTAGTAATGAAAAAGCTCCTCTAATTCATGGAAGAAATATATTGTACAGATTAAGCAACTTTTTTAAATTTAGAAGAATACAACATGCAGAAGGAGATGGATATGTGGAATTTGGTAGTTTGAATGTAGATAGTGGTCGTACTTTAGGATCATTTGCTGGTGTATTTAGTCCTGTTACATTATCAATGTTTAGTGCCTTAATTTTTATACGAATGGGTATGAATCTTTTTGAATATAATTTATTGCATTCTCCCTTATAATGTTAATGACAAAAGGAAAATTTTACGTGTACAATTTTATAAACAAACTTTATGTTATAGGATATATTGTGGGCAATGCTGGATTATTTGTCACTTTGATACAATTCATAATTGCATATGGAATTTTAGTATTTACTGTAGCATCAATATGTGCAATTTCCACAAATGGTGCAGTAGAAGGAGGTGGTGCTTATTGTATCCTTGCTTAAATTTCTTTATTATTTTCAATAGTTAATAATCTATAGTGCATAAAATCCATCTGTTGTTTAGAGATAAGATATCAGTTATTGCATTAGACTTTTAGCATATATTAAATACACTAAATAATGATATATGGTTATTTATTATTTTTAGTATTAAATTATTGATATTTTGGGAAAAAAAAATAATACAAATGTGAGAAAATCAGTAATATATCAAACATTTATTATATATTTGTATTTTCTTCTTCAAGCAAATTTCATTAAAAATTGTAAGATATAGATTTTTTGATATATTTTATACATGAATTTTTCTTATTAATTATTGTAGTCATGATTAGTCGTACACTTGGACCAGAATTTGGTGGTTCTATTGGTACATTATTTTTTACAGCTAATATTGTGTCAAGTGCGTTTTGTATTTCTGGATGTACAGAAGGTTTGATAGAAAGTTTTGGGCCATCTGGTTATTTGGCTGGTAAAAGTGCATTAATACCAGATGGTATATGGTGGAGATTTTTATATTGTTCTATATTAAATACTGCCAATTTAGTGGTATGTCTTATAGGAGCTGCAATGTTTGCAAAAACTAGTGTTGCAATTTTGGCTGTTGTTTGTGTTTGTTTATTAAGTGTTTTCATAAGTTTTTTGGCACAAGGATATATGGAGGTAATTGTATGAAGAATATAAAATTTATTAATTAATGTTGCAAACAGATAAATATTTCTAATAATACATCTTTTATTATAGATACCAATTCCAGATGCAAATACGCTGGTTCAAAATGCAACAGAACATGTTAATGGCACTTATACAGGATTAATGTCATCTACTCTTATAAGTAATCTTTATTCAAATTACAGTCATGATTATTCAAGTAAAGGAGCAATGACTGATTTTGCAAGTGTTTTTGGTGTATTATTTAGTGGTGTTACTGGTATAATGGCTGGAGCTAATATGAGTGGTATTTATAAAACCAAGTTATTAAACAAAGTAATTTGTAAGTTTTTCGTTTTAATGTTTAATTAAAATTAATTTTGATTCATAGGCGAATTAAAAAATCCAGGAAGAAATATTCCACGTGGAACTCTATCAGCAATATTATTTACTTTTATATGTTACATTCTTTTATCTATTCTGACCGCTGCAAGTACAAGTCGATTTTTATTGCAAAATGACTTTATGTATATGATGTCGATTAATATTTGGCCTCCATTTGTAGCAGTTGGTATATTAACAGCGACATTTAGTGCTGGTTTAAGTAACTTGATAGGTTCAAGTAGAGTTTTGGAAGCTTTAGCAAAAGATAATGTGTTTGGTAGGTGATACAAATTTCAAGCTTTTACAAATTTTTTTTACATTTATTTATTTTCCTTAGTTTTGTACATTTAATGCTTTTAGGTTCTGGTTTAAATTTTATAATACAAGGGACATGGAAAGGAAATCCAATTGCTGCAGTTTTAACTTCATGGACTTTGGTTCAAATAATTTTATTAATAGGTTCTTTAAATATTATTGCTCAAATTAATTCAGTATTGTTTTTGCTGAGTTATTTGGCTACTAATTTGGCCTGTCTTGGTCTTGAACTTGCAAGTGCTCCAAACTTTAGGTATTCTTGATTTTAAATTTATATTATTTTGGATTTTGAAATTTTAAGATTAAAGTAGTTGAAATTGGTGTACTTTTTTTACAGACCAACGTTTAATTATTTTACATGGCATACAGCTACAATTGGTCTTCTTGGTACATTAATAATGATGTTTGTTATAAATAGTATCTATGCATCCAGTAGTATAATACTTTGTTTAACTTTAATCATTGTGTTGCATTTATTTTCTCCAAGTAAAAATGCTCCTTGGGGAAGTATATCTCAAGCACTTATATTTCACCAAGTTAGAAAGTATTTATTAATGTTAGATTCACGTAAAGATCATGTGAAATTTTGGCGACCACAAATGCTGTTAATGGTAGCCTCTCCACGATCAGCATGTCCACTTATAGATTTTGTAAATGATTTGAAAAAAGGAGGACTTTATGTAATAGGACATGTAAAAGTTGGTGAATTTTTGGGCCAGAATATTGATCCCACTATAGAAGAGTATCCACATTGGTTGAGTTTAGTTGATCATATGAAAATAAAAGCATTTGTCGAATTAACAATTACGAAAACAGTACGTGAGGGGTTACACCATTTAATTAGAATATCTGGGATGGGAGCAATGAAACCAAACACAATTGTTCTTGGTTTTTACGACGAGGAGGCACCGACAGATTTCTTCAAGGATTCACAATATGCGACTGATATATTTGAAAATATTTCAACCTTATCAAATAGTCCTGCATTTCCTTTAAGACATACAAACACAGAAAAGAATTTAGATTCAATACAATATGTAGGAATGTGCTCAGACGTTTTAAAAATGAAAAAGAATTTGTGTTTGTGTCGAAATTTTCATATATTAAATAAATTACAAATAACTAAGTAAGTATGTTAATAATTTTTCATTAATTAGCATCGTTATTTCATTTTTGTCCTATTTTATATTTCAGGAATTCTTCTTTAAAATATATTGATGTATGGCCTGTAAACTTTTTTCAACCAACAGATCAAGATCCATTTGATACAACATCATTATTTATGTTGCAACTTGCGTGCATTATTAATATGGTACCCAATTGGAAAAATTTACATCTTAGGGTGTTTCATTGTGAAGTTTCAGATAGCAATACAAGTTTGAGTATCTCAGATTCACAAAATTCGATTAGTGAGTCTCCTCGAATTTCTAACGAACTCCATATAAGAAAATTATTAAATATGTTGAGAATATCAGCATCCATTAAAAAAATTCCTAATTGGGGAATGCAACTACATGGATTAAAAGGTCATTCTCTTATTGAATCAAGAATGGAAAATCAATATGAGCCGAACATCGATAATGGCGATATCTTAAGCAATGTTTCACGTGCTTATATTTTGAAGTAAGTATTTTATTTAAGGTTTCATATTTTATAATTTTTAAAATAAATTACTTTTAATTTATTAATTTTATTTTTCAGCGTGAATCAATTAATTAGACAACATTCTTTACAAACTGCTACAACATTCATATATTTACCTGCACCTCCAGTATCAAATACTTGGGATGAGAATACTACATATCGTCAATATCTCCAACTATTAACAGAATTAACAGCAGATTTACCGCCTACAGTATTAGTACACGGCGTCAGTGCTGTTACATCAACAACATTGTAATGAAATGTACATATGGAAATGAGAAATCTTATTGTACAATATTTAAAAAAAAGAAAGTATTATTTAATGAATAGTTTATGTTAATGTAAATTATAATATATATTGTATTTCCTATGATTATGAAAGAATGACTACAGGAATTTGAAAAGGTATGCAAATATCAAAAACGCTTTATGTCGTTTTATACAAATTATGACCAATTCAGCAATAATAATACTTTCTTATTGTA